CCTTCAGAACTCAACGACAGCCAGTGCGTCTGTCATTTCTGGCCGCCACGTGATTGGTTCCCTCCCGAAACTCACCCGCCAAGCTGAACTGGGCCACCACTTCCAGGGCCCTGCGCAGGTCGCAGCCTGGCTGGGAGGTCCCCCCATTGGGGTAGACGTCCAGGTGGCCCACGGGCCTTTGGATGCCGATGCTGAGACCCAAGGATGCACGTGTAAAGGTGTGGACCACATCCACAAAGTGAGCGTCATCAGGGGAGAGGCGCCGGTCAGCATGGGCCCCCTCGAAGACTGGTCCGGCTGGATCCAATCCTACAAAAAGCAGAACCATACTACGGTAAATGATGTCCACATGCCTTTAAATGCTACAGGTTTGTCTTTATACTCCACCCATATATGTCTTTAATCCCCGCCCACCCTAACAGTAGCCATTGGTCATTGCTGTTTTTGCTCCGCTGTGTTGAGGAACTAGTTCCTCAAGAATTATCACATCCTGCCAATCACTGGTTTATGTCACTTCCCTACCCCCATTGCCCCCAGACCCTGTGCTTACCAGTAATCCTGCCGACCTTCCTGGAGGTGTTGCTGCCAGCGAACCCAGCGACATGGGCCCCCAGGCTGTAGCCAATGAGGTGGAGGTTCTCTGCTGAAACACCCGTCTTGTCCTTGAGGAGAATAATGAGGCGTGTGAGAGAGCTGAAGCGGCTCTGCTTAGATGGCTGGATCGGTCCACGGTGACAGAACACGCACCATAATCCAGTCAATAAGACGGGCTACATCTTGCCCCACGAGCTCCGTGTCCTGGGCTGAAGTGAAGTAGTGGTTATGGGCCCTACTGAGCCAGTCCACCACGATGACGTTGGCGTCTGGCTCTCTCTCGAACAGAGCTGACACCAGCTTGGAGATCCAGCTAGCCAGCATGCCGCTCACCTGGGGGGGTTATTCACTTAGTGAGACCCTCAGCTCAGCCAGACCTCATATACACCTGCTCAGAGTTAACTATGGCTTTTGACGTGTGATCAGCGAAACATTGCTAAAGCTTACCGTCCATCCGTGGATGACCAGGAAGGTTCTCGAGGTGGCGTTGAACCTGCATTTGTGCAGGGAGGCTGCATTCCCAGCTTCTATGTAGCACTCGTCTTCGTGGGGGGGCCCAGGGCTGCGTACAGAGAACTTTGTGTGGGTCGGGTTAGCTTCTGTGTGGTTGCTGTCCTCGGTTTGGCTCTCCTGGTTGAACAGGTCCTTCAAGGGCTCCAAAACATTGCCTGCATTAAACATTTAGTACACTTACATTTTTTGACGTTATCACTGTATTTTGTAAGCTTTATTAAAATTAAAGTTATAGTCCTAACTGCCAGATTTTATGATTAAATCAACTAAGTTTCGCGGCATTTCTGAATAGCTGGTGTCGGGTGTCAACCGTCATTTGAACTATATATTTCACAAATTCATACTGATGTTGATAAAGGTGACGCTTGTTGAAATCTAAGACTCTGTCATTACTTCATGCACCATTGCACTGTGTATAATGGCTTCAGTGCATCGCCGACATGATACCTAGGTGGTATTCACTCTTCACTCTGTTCGACACGGTCAGCCCCATAGAGGCAGGCTATAACCTTGTCCCGGTCGGGGGGTGAAGGTCAGTACCTTACGCTTATGTAATACAAGATCGCGATTCAAATTTAATCAGCAAAAAACAGATTCTCTGTTATAAAAGCAAAACCCCAAGTTTCTCCAGTTATGAAACGTACAGTACATCTATTGATATTCATTTCCCAGGTAAAAAATAATTTATTTACTTAAAAATAGATCTGGTCTAGTCATTGAGACAATTCACGCGATGATCCAAATGAAAGTTCATATTCGGTTAGCTCACAAAATATCCAGCTATTTTAAAACTTTTTCTTAATAAATGCAACAAATCTGACCAGATGAGCTCTTAAACGAATACAGGCAGCCGCGTTGATTTAACACAGGAAAACCTGCAGCTTGCTCAACTTACCAAAGAAGTTGGACTCGTCTTCGTTTAAAAGTTTCACAGGGGGCACTGCAGTATTAAACACGATCAATAAAATGCAGCAGTAACCCTCTACTTTCATGTCTTTCCGGAAATTTGCGATCTATCTCGAAGACCCGATCAGCGCAAAATCTAATGTAATGAAATGCAAAACTGTTGCCTGCGGATTTAAAAAATAAACAAGAAATCAATATTCCTTGTGTGTTATTATAGCATTAATATGTTTCAGGGGGTCTGACAGCTTTTAAATAGCGCATCCGGACGCCCAGGGGGCTGCACTCTGGGCGTGATTATTATACCGGACTAGTGATGCGATACACATTAAGTCACCGGAAAGTTCCTTACAAATATCCCCAGATACCATTTTATTTATATATTATAGTGACCTTACAGCTGTTGGGGTGACATGTCAGGTGACTTTCTCGCAAAGGCAAATTAGAAGGCGTTTATTCTCACGATTTGATACAAATACAAATAGCCTACTGAAATGCGTGATGTTGCTGAAAACCCGTTTAATTTTATCTACACATTGTGGAGTCAGGTGTTCATCCATGGACCCGGCAGTGTATTGTGTTGCAACATTTACTGTGCTTGGATCGTCAATTTACTACGCTATAAAAGCGTGTGTGTTAACATACACATAGCCTGTATAAAACTATCGATCTGATAACAGCTTATCACAAACAGGGTCGCCATAATACAAATCTGAACCTAAACTTTAATAGAGATGAAAAAACTTTGGGTGCAGCTTGAAGATCGGGGGTTAATTGTCAGTCAAAATGTAGTTTAAGCGTAGAATTATAAGTAAATGCAATTAACTTTAAAGCACGGCACTGTGAGGGCATGTAAGAAGAGAGGGGGTGGGTGTTCCTTTGTGTCGCCTTTCAGGTGACATTGTCATCGTTCACCAGCCCATGACGAGATTAATCTGGACGGAACATCGTGCTGTCATGACCGAGAGCTCTGAGCGGTGGTCTAAATGCCCCCTCCCCGTTCGGTTTTCTTCTCCTCGTTTTTTGTTGTTCCATTAGCAGATGGTGAACCTTCAGTATAAATATTTGATAATATCAAACGAATGCGCAATGACCCCTACCCGTGGAAGACACAGGGAGTCATGCATGAGAAGCTGATAGATCATCTTAAAACTAGTTACAATCGCACGTTGTAATACTTCAAAATATAATTCGGTGTTGATTTTAGCGATATAAATGTACTGTTATTTGAGTAGTGGTTTACATATAGGCGCACGTTTGATTTCAACATTGATAGGGACCGAATCAGCCCCGAACCCCCGCCCCCCGCGTCTACCGGTACTCCCACAATATTTGTAGGGCCATGTCCCTACAGACCACACCCATTGGATAAGAAAATGGGCATTTAGTGGGTTGGGGGTTATTGGATGTGCCTGATTAGGGTTACAGTTTGTCCCCGTTAGTGACGCACGGGTGAGTTGGAGTACTGCCAAACGCCGAAGTCACATGCCTGCCTTCTGCGCTTGCTACTCCTCGCCCAGCTGCTGCGATTAATGGAAAACCATGCTATGAGGGTATCAGGGATCACCTGAGTTTGTTTGAGAGCGGGTGAAAAATAAGGCGGGCACCAAAACTGGAAATCGTGATGTCATTAGACAATAACGCGACAAAGAAACAATACCACGTGCCAAGAGCCAATGTCCTTCATCCTGTCCGCGTATACGAACAAACGTGTCCATGGCAAAATGTTTTGAGTGAGAAAAAACTGTGTATGTTACATTTTTAAATGCGGTAAACGTTGCAATCTGATCAAATGTTCCATCAGAATCCGTCCTACCAGGTGTTTTTATGCTTCTGCTCCCGCTTCTATGGTTCTGTGCAGAGATAGAAAGTTCAGGTACAGAAAGTACAAATCCAGAGCCAGCTGGTTGGTGTTTTAACCAACCAGCTGAGTTCTCTGTGACTGTGACTCTTTGGTTGAAACAAAATCTTACTCTGGATTTGTAGTTTCTGGACCTGAACTTTCCACCTCTGGGTTTATGCAACACTTTCCTTGGGGGGGCACAAGTAACTTAGTAACTCAGCTACTACACATCATGTACAAATCATGAACAAATATAGTAACAGCAGGAAATACATGAACCAGTATGACTGATTAATGATGAACGAACATAGGATCAGTATGTAACACTTATTTTCTGGTTAATCAATACACTAACAGAAAAAAGTAACAATTTATACCTTTGATAAAGATTATCCTTTTAGTCAAGGAATTGGGAACTGCTCGGAGATCAGTGGGTTTTGGAAAATGCAAACAGATTGATATTTTCTTAATACCACGGCTCTGTTTAAATTAAAGTACAAAACATAATGCTTTGTCAGCCGCTGTTTATTTCTACAGATGGATGGCGCCACCGGGTAAAATTAATTGGCCCTGGATCATTTGTACATAAATACTGAGAGCTTGCGTTGACAAACATCTGGACATCTGCTGCCCCACTGAAACATTTTGATTCATTTTATTCTTGCATCTGAATATGTTTTACTAGTTATGGGTGTCACGATAGAAGAGTTGGGAAAATTTCTCTCAGTGAGAATTAGCGAGGGCTTCAAATCAGGAATGAAGGGGACAGAGTTTTTGCTGCTCTGATTTACTGTTGGGTTTCAGTGTTAGTAGTTTTGCCTGTGTTGTTAGTGGGCCTATTAGAAGAGGACTGAAGGACGTGGTGAAACTCTGCCATCTGGGTAGAGCCAAGCTGTCCTGGCATGATAATTTTCATGGGGCACTTAATTCCTTCTGCAGAAAGTTTCTGAGAAATGTCTGTTTAACTTCTCTCCACTGCGTCGGTCCAGGGATTTCCAGGAACTGCTGTACTTGCGAAATAACAACATTTTAAAATCTCATTTTGGAGAATACGCACAGGCAAGACTGTGCTGTTTGAAGTGAAAAAAATCCTGGCTTTATCGGTGATTCTCATTTGTAGATAAAGTCAGAAAGTGACAGGACTACATGAGGTTTACCAGCTTTATTACAGTACCAAGTTCCCCCTCTAATACAGTACATTGCATCTCAAAACAAACATAATAACAGCCCGCATTGGCGGGAGAAATGCCTACCAAACCCACTTTCCCATCTCTCTGTATGAAATCCACCTTCAAAAGCAGAACATTAGCTCAATAGTACTTCAAAGTAGAGGATAATAAAATAGATATCTTTGGAAGCCTAGCAAAAATATATTATGTACAGCGTAATATACAAATATACACATACATTCAATAAATAGAGTATGCAGTATTATTGGAGAGATAATAATCATGGAAGGTAATACACTCAAGTACCAGGGCTGACATGAGCTTCGATGGCTGAGATTTCAGGTCAGTCCCTTATAGCAGACAGTGAACTAGCCGAATGATTTTCTTGTGTGACCCTGACTTGTGGGGACTCATAACCATACCTTGACTGCACCCCTTAAGTCCAATGACATTATAGACATGAAAGAGACAGGATATGTGAGTTTCAATTTGTTTTATCTAAATTTGAGAAATCGCATCTCAGTGGTCTAGCCCCATTTCACGGAATTTGTGACAATTGCCCGGGTTGGTCCCTTTGGTGTAAAAGTGGGAAGCTTTAAGCCCCTAATTTTTACATTTTTAAATTATTATTATTATTCTAAGAGCCTAGATATAGCATGCATTCCAAAGACTTGTTTGACAACATTTCAGTTTCTGTGAAACTGTACACATGAGACAACTGAGAGTTAACTAGGATGGCTAATAAGCTATTGGAGGTAACATGTGTCTGCTTTAAGAGGGGATTCATCTTCATGTCATTATGGGCATGATGTGACCAAAGCTAACCTTAGGACATCTGGAGAGCAGATCTAAACAATCGGAATACTTGGAGATCAGATGGGCCAGCAGACAGACATTGGACAGTGAACGATGTCCACAAACTAGAGGGTGCACCTGCAAGCTAATGCTAAAAAGCTAACAGAGAAGATAAATTCTATCTGAATGCTATGGTGGCCCTGAAGTGCAAAAACACAAGACGTTAAGGAAACCCCCAAAAATGTACGTTGTGTGTTTTTCGCAAACTTTTGTGCTTTCTTTGATGCTCTGTGTTTTATTAACACTTTGTGTTTTGCACTTCAGGGCCATCGTTACTTGGCACTGCAGAAGCACATGGAGGACAATCAGACAAGTGCTATGCATATATAAATTAAGCAGGTATGTGTACAGTACACTCTAACAAGTAGGCAGGAGAAGAAGAAAAAACGACTGCAAGCCTCAAGGGAAAATCCGAAGTCGACACATTCCACGTTCAACCGTTGTCGGTTTTATAGGTCCAGTTTAAAAATCCAGGGTGTTCTGGAATGAGGACTGGAAGACAGTAATGATGTATTTCATCAATGATTAGAAGACTGTTACCAAAGTGCTTAAATTGTCAAAGGACAAGAATCAGTGAGCGGGCACATTTCAGTGAGACAGACATGCAGATTTAGAGAGAACTACATTGTGCAGGAACCAGCCTCTGGCCAGCAGGAGGGCGCTGGCTTTGGGGGAAGTTTTACATAGTGCTCTGTTTGAAGGAACTCCCATACATCTTCAGTCTGTGCATCCTACAGTCAGGAAAGAAAAAAAAACATGCAATCAGCCAATGGCGTGCCAGCAATGAAGTCATCTGATGCTGCACATGAAACTCCATTGGCTGCATGTCTGAGAGGGCAGGCCTGTACCGTCTCTGCTTCCGGCTGGCTTCATCCTCTTCCGACTTCACAAAGACTATCTCCTCCCCACCTTTCACAAGGTGTACTATGTCCCCCTGTTTGACAGTGAAGACGGCCCTGGAATATATGTGCAGATAGTGAGTTTTGGGTCATCCTCACACGCATTGGTGACAGAACCGGGTACCAGCAACGGGTTACGCAGGTAGGGATGTGGGGGACCTACCTGGCCTGAGTTTCTCCAGCTTTGATGCGCATCTTCCGGACCAGGAAGCTGCTGCTGCTCCACCAGCTGGACAAACTGAGGAAAGAGTCCTTTTCCCAAACCATCTTCACCATCAGCAGGTCTCCGATGTCCACATCGGAGGTCAGCAGGAAGGAAATGGTGCTGTTGGTGCTCAGCTGAGGCCTTTGAGATCAAACACAGGCAGGAAACCTCTAACTCTACTGCAGTACATACTATGGACACCAGGGGGTTAGATAGGAATACTCACTGTAATTGTTTGCTATAAAAACTGATTCAGAGAAGCAGAGTAGTCCTAACTGGTAAGAACCGTTTGTGTGAGATGGTGCATCTTACACAACGAGGGCGATGTCCTCCTTCACTCCATTGGTCCCAAGCAGAGTGATCTTGATTGGCTGCTCGATGAAGGTCTGATTCTGCTGGCTGAAGAGGTGCAGTTTCACCTGGTAGTGGAAGACTGGGGGAGGGGGGTGGATAAGGGCATCATGAGCAAGGGCCTCAGACGCCCCTCCCCAACGCACAGCCGCATGATCAGGAAAAGCTCAGGATGGCAGTATGATGTGTGGGAGCCACTGGTCTCTATCAGAGAGAGCCAGGAAAGTCAGGCAGCAAAGCATTATGGGAAGCAGAGCATTTGGACCACGGCCCAACTCTTACACAACATTATCATCATGTTTGTTTAGGGGGATCACAAATGGACATCCACTCTTTGAGCAGGGGACTGACAGCTGTGCATTTTTACTTTCGCAGCTTATAATGTAATGCAGCAGAATGTGTACCAGAGTAAACGATTGGATGACCTTATTTGAGGGCACAAAAGCTTGTATCCACTGGGATTTAAACATTAGCAGATGTTGGCTATGCGAATATTTGCGGGCATTGATTGGTTTGCTGTGGAACAGTCCGCAGGCTGTCAGACGTGGTGTAGGATTGTAGGATCTGGACTAAAATGTCTGATTCATTCTGCACTCGCTTGTCTCGATCACGGGGGTGTCCAGTTTCAGACTTAAATATCCGTGCCCCGTTCCTCCAAGTGACCCCAGCGACTTGTTGTGATTCCCTGACACATCAGTTGCAGGGTGCCACTCTCCACCAGTCCCACGTGAGAAGCCTGGAAGTGTGTCACCGCTATCTCTATGTCACGTGTGGCCTTCCATTCTGGGAGTGGGTTGGGCGTCTTCTCATGGAATGGCACGTGAATGAGCTCAAAGCTTCACTCAGCTGCTGTGAGCAAAGGATGCACCCCCCATACAGGCTCAGCTGGAACCTTAACCACTGCACCACCTGTGGTCAGTTTTTGTCATGTGACAAAAAGCTGAAAGCTCATAGGAAGAGAGTCGTGGGCTAAATACTCCACCCAATGGCAGCAGATTTGGGCCTTACCTTTGAAGGGCATGGCCTCGCGGGTCTTCAGGAACATCCGCACAGACCGTCGTGAGCGCACCTTGCTGACTTCATAGCCCAGCTTGTTGCAGCGGTTCTTGCGGCAGCTCAGGCACAGGCCATTGTTGAAAGCCTCTTTAGTGCCGCAGCGGAAAGCCAGGCTCTGCTTCTCCTGATTCACCAGCGAGTCGATGAACAGGTGGATGGAGCGCTCATGGGAACACTTCACGATCTGGTCCATGTCTGCGAGGAGCCAATAAGGGGGTGGGGCAAGGGGAAGGGGCGGGGTCAGAACAGAAGGGAAGATGGTGAGGTCAATGCCAGGGGGCGGGGTCAAAGACATTATTGGCCAATAACTATAGCTGACTTTTGATTGACTGGCTGTTTGACGTATTGCAGGTGTAATGTATTTCAGTTAAACCTGCTTGCCCTGTCTGAGATCGCAAGGGACCCGACATGTTCTGCAGGCAGCGTACAGTGGAAGCCGGAGGTGGCGATCATCATGACTGTGTTCTGCAGGTCGCAGCCCGGCTGGAAGGTGCCCCCGTTGGGGTAGATATCCACGTGACCCACGGGCCTCTGGATGCCGATGCTGCGGTCGGGCGACCCCCTGGTGTTCGTGTGCAGCACATCCACAAATTCGGCGTCGTCCGGAGACAGCGTGCTCTGGTCGTCGGCATACTCGAACCCGGGCCCGGCGGGATCCAGGCCTGCAGTGGGACAAAGGGTGGGGGGAAGGGCATGTTCATGATGAGCCTATTTACTCGTGGTGTAACTGGTTAAGGGGTCATGCCACAATGCCCTGTCCTCAGGCCCGTGCGTGATCAGCACGCCTCACCGCTGCTCACCTGTGATCCTGCTGATCCTCTGCTTGGTGAGGAAGCCGGCGATTCCTGCCACGTGGGCCCCCAGGCTGTAGCCGAGGACGTGGATCTTCTCCCAGGGGTACTTCAGCTCGGCCTGCGGTAAGCGGCAGTTTTTTAAACAGCTTTCAAGAACAGCTATGTCACGAGCCGCCAGCGCTGTGTTACAGGTCCCATGTGTATCTCCTGAGGACGCAGAAGGTCGTGCGTGTGACCTTGACACTGCCGCCATACGTGTCCCTGCACCAGCTGAGTTAATCACCCCCCACTGCCTGCGTATCACGTGTCCGGGGGCCAGCAACTGATTTGAGGGGCCCTGCTTGTAAAGATAACAACAACCCCCCCCCCCCCCCCCCAAAGTGGGGCCTCATCCAAAGGGTTCCACCAGAGATTTTTTTTTGTCCCCATGAAAAATATCACATTGGACCCCCAACCCAGACCAGTCCAATTATGTTAATTTTTTTGCCCTTGTCACTAAGGTGCCTTCTGAATTATCCTAAGCCCCCACCCTTTACGGGGCCCATAGTCCCACCCTTAACGGGGCCCCTAGTCCCACCCTTTACGGGGCCATGGTCGCGCCCTTTACGGGGCCCCTAGTCCCACCCTTTACGGGGCCCATGGTCCCACCCTTTATGGGGCCCCTGGCCTCACCTGCAGCCAGCTGACGAACTTGGCCACGTCGCGTCCCACCAGCTTGGTGTAGGCGGCTGAGGTGGGGTAGTGCTGCTGGGCTCTCGCCAGCCAGTCCACCACCAGCACGTTGGCGGCGGGCTCCCGCTCGTACAGGGCCTTCACCAGCTTCACCACCCAGCTCTCATACATCCCCGTCACCTGTGGACGGGCGCAGAGAGGGGCCACGCGGCTCACACAGGACCACCAGCGACATCCACATCCAGCGTTAGTCTAACTCGTGATTTTAAGCAAATTTTTTTTCCCCTTTATTTCACCAAATGCTGCCGAAGACTCACCGTCCATCCGTGGATGACCACGAAGGTCTGTGAGTCGCGTTTAAAGTCACATCCCGCGATGGTGTCCGGCTGACCGGGAATGATGTAGCACATGTCCTCATCCGGGGTGTCGGCTGTTCTTAGCGAGAACTTGGACTCGATGTCGCTGAAGTTCTCGATCCAGGAGGTGGTGTTGCCTGTGCCTGGATGCCACACGGTCACGGAAAAACAGGCAGACACACACACACACACACACACACACACACTATGTCAGTGGTTTCCATCAACAGGATACACACAGGCAAGGAAATTGCATCTCAGACAAACGGGGAGATCGGCATCACAAGAGAGCCCATAAGAAAATCTCCCGTTTTTCTCCTCTACAGACTCATTGAGATTGACAAACACAGTATTATAACGAGGGCTTTCTAACACGGAGATGCACCGCAATCCCCAAATCCTGAAGTGGTAAATAAGTCATATAGACAGGACAAGGGGGTTACAAATCATCTGCTTAGGACAGGGTTAACTTAGGTCGGTCTTGTTGAGTAACTCCTGCATAGGCGAGCCAAGCTTTTAGGGTGTTTGCCTTGCAAAAAAAAGTCATATTATCACAAACAGCGTTATTTGCGATGAAGGCGTGTTTAGTATTTTTTTATATGATTACTGTCCATTGACCGAACAATTTATAGTAATCAGCAGCAATATCGCCCCCTGTTGCAAATAAAAAACTACGATCCCGCATCTGACTTATGAATATCATCAAACTGACACCACCGTCGCGAAATGGCAAATGCATCGGTGTCTTTTGGCTACTCCCATTCGTCCACTAATGAATTGCCCTTTTCTCGTTTCGTATGACAACAAGTCACATACAGAGGAGTAGCTGCGGGCTGAAAGACAGCGAGGGCTGTCAGCAATGTCTGCGACTTCCGAACGCTCCAGAAACGGACTTCATAGGTTTCATCTGCCCTCCCGCTGCCAATGGCATTTTCAATCACGTTAAATCGCAATAACCAACTGCTTAGAAACAAATAATATATACACAAAAAGTCAGCTGGTTACACTGGGGGAAAAAAAAAGTTAAAACCTTTCAACTTACTGGATGGAGTTGCTTCAGTGGTATTGGAAAAACTTGCGCAAGTTTTGATAAAACACACCCCAAAAAACAGTATGTAGATACTTTGTTTTCCCATATTATTAAGAGTTAATATTATTTTTTTTCGATGAGTCCCGGATGAAAAGGCGTGTGCGGAACAATCCCGGGTCCCTGGACTCTACTTCAGCCTTCGGCCAGGAGCTGAGCGGCGATCCCGTTCTTTGTTGCACATTCGGTGCCGTCTTACGGTTTTATGCCGAAGCCAATGGTTCACACAAATGTCCTACAGCCCATTGGTCGGAAATACTTCTAATGGGCGGCGACATTGTCTTGAAAAACTTTCTCCGCACGGTCCCATACCTGTAACCCTCAAAATAAAACGGTTTGCCGATCACATTGTACATGGCTTATTGGGGATTTATAACAAAATATTTATTCATGTAGAACTAACACCCCTTTCACTGTTTTTGTTTTTCATCCACTTTTAACGGAGAATGTATAATTCATTTAAATAATAAAGTGTAATAACTGGACCTATATAAAACCACGACTAATTTAATTGCAATGTGCTGCATTCACATCGAAGGCAAATTACTTTCAGATCTTAATAAAAAATATGTCAAGATTATAGGCCTAATTAAAAAAATAAAATATTTTGAAATGGGCTGAAATCGTTATGTCGTGCCCGTTTTCCTCAGTACTGCCACTTACATCCAAAGCCCATTTTACAGTGTTTAAATTCCTAAATCCGTTTATTATGACATACCGGCACGTATATAACTTAGCTAAACTGGAAAAGTTAACGTGCTTTGCATTTCAATTGGGTACTTATAGTCTTCGCTATTTAATTTTTGTGGGCTCCTCTCTAGATTACTCTAAATTAAGAAGACTTGTTTATAAGACATAATAAATTAGGTAGAACGTTCGAAACGCAACAAAAAGGAAAATGTGGTCAAACTATATCGCACATATGTTAAAGAAAGGTGTGAACTGTCCGGCTCGTCTCATTGGTCGGATGTCAGCCAATCAGAGGTGGATACCCTCAGCCGACAGAGCACCCCATACCGGCAAGCGTGGGCTACTCAGTTTACATCCTCTCCGTCTCCAGATAGTCTAACATAATCATTGTTAATCTCCACAAGGAGAACGCTCAGTCATGTGAAAGAAGTGCCTTTCTCAATTGTTATATATTTAACAGATGAATTCATTCCAAAAATAACGAATCGCTCTTTAAATATAATATTTAAAATAGCCTGCATTTGGATATTCTATAGTATAGTTTGGCCTAATAAAGACTATGGATGTAGGCCTCAGGCTCGGGCGATTTAGAGGGCAGCCCCATCCCCCGCAAGCCCCCCTCGGGTGCATTCCATTCTGATTCCACGCACCATCTTGCTGTGGACCCCTGCAGAAGCGAACGGCAGCAAAGGCAGCAATCTCGAGGGTTTTAATCTGTTTTAAGTAATGCAGTAACATGCATTAACTCATGTTCTCCATCCCCCCCTTTTTCTTTGTTGAGCAAACGATTTTAAATATAACTTTAATATATTTCATAGCTGTGCCGTCTTGGCGTAACAGGGCTGAGTCCGATGGGAGCGTGCTCGCCGCTGATTTGTCAAATATTGGCAGCTGTTTTCTTGTCTTGCACCCGACTCTCTTTTTTGTGTTGGGTACGTTTTGAAACGGCTACATTGTTCAATAGGCACTCGTTTTTAAGCCAGACACCGCTGACGATTGCGAGAAGTCTAGTTGAGCAACCAAGGCTCACGGTGACATTGAGGGAGTCAAAATAAAACGGGAGACATTTGGCGTAAGGACACTCCACCCTTATCTGTGCCTTCCTGCTTTTCTTTGTTCTCCAATCAAAGGATGATGGTTTTCTGCGAGAAGACTTTGCAGACATAACATCCAGGCTGCTAATGGACACGTGCTTCTACCACATGCTGATAACCTGAGATTCTGCAGAAGTACTGAAATTCAGCAGTAGGCGTGAAGGAACCAATCTCTGCACCTGAAGGATGTGGGTTCATATCCCACTCTTGTATCCTTGAGTCACGCATTTGACCTGAGCAACTATAAAAAATATGTCAGGCGTATGGATGTGTGAGCTGCGTCAGCGTCTCTGATAATAGGACCAGTTAAATAAATAATCATCATCATTATTTCTTCAGTAGGTAAGGGTGGGGGGAGGGGGGGGGGCGTCTGGTTTTGAAGTAGTCTTGATTTTTTCAGGTCTGGCCTTTCTTGTGAAAAAGTGCGAAAAATGAATGATTCTGAAATAAATAAATAAAATGTGACCAATTGGTATTGACCAAAACAATTTGTCAGATAATAATAGGAATAAATTTAAGAATAAATTTCCTAAATCATCAAACTTAATGAAAACTGACATGTTTCATCTCTAAAGTCTCCAGGCCCTTTGCTGGCCTGTGACACTCAGGCGTTTGCGTCCAGGGGCAGTTTTTGCAGAATCCTGGGGTCACGTCACCCCTCAGACTGACCGTGGGGCGTAGAGATATGGTGATGTCATGTGACATCTGGTTCTGGCCAACAAGTAAGACCTCCTGTAGGGCTTTTTTCATAATTCGAAGTAAAACACCACAAATCCTCTTCGGCCTCTGTGATTTTTCCGAGCACGGGATCTCGGTCTGGAGGAAAGCTGAGCTCTGCAGGGTCCCGTTATGCCGTCACCATGTCTGATCAGTCCTCCCCTGACCCTGGTAACAGAAGAGAGGATGACAGGGTGCATAAAACATAGAGATAAACCGCTCATCAAAAGCGATAAAGTGCCTCTTCCTACAGAAGGTTAGCGTGACTCCAAACACGGCCCCTCACAGCCGCAGCAGTTACACCCTTTTGTATCTGAACTCCCCTTATGTGTCGTTAGGTCTGTTCTCCATTGGACTGTTTTTTTTTTTTTAAAACTCCAAACTCAAACAGGGCAAGTTTCGGATCATCTCGGGCTCCTACGGAATCACGTGACTTGGTCTGTGTTACTCCCTGAGACGGTCTCCGATTCCCTCCCTCCATCTGCCCCATGCAAAGATCTAGAATGTTCTTGTTTTAGCCTGTCGCAACACTTCGCCTGTGCCGAACCTAAAAATTTGTCCACAGACGTGTCAGGTGTTCAGAAGTTGAGTCTTACTAGCTCTTAGGGAAAGATCACTTTCTTGTTTTTAATATCTCCATTTGAAATTACGGGTCCCGTTATTGTTGCTGTTGTTTTACATCTGCTCATAGGATCGCAGCACGAGCCCGTGGCTTTAATATCGGGAATGTGCAGGGGGAGGTTACCCGGGCAACGAGCCTCATACCAGCAGCTGTACGCTGAGACGTGGAGAGAAACGATTGAGGAGAACCAGACCATCCAGGTGTTTGGTTTGTGTTGTGGAGGCCCACAGGCAGGATGGGGGCAGGGCGCAGGAGTGCAGGGGGGCCGTTCCTGGGGTAATTAGGGATGGCCCAGTCGGGACCTCACAGTGGAATCCCCTGGTGGCACCTCTCGCCCCTAATCCCCCATCTGCGTGGGAAAGCAGCCCCGTCAGGCATTCCATCGCACTCAGTTGTGACAGGGGCAGTGAGGGGGCGAGAGGGGGTATTATCCCATTCACCAGTTACTGTTTGTCCAGCATGCTGGTTGAGGTTGTGTCCCTGTTAAGATGGTGCACTGGTGTAGAGCGATCGTGCTGGGTTATTCTGCAGAGCGCTGGAGGAATCCGTGCCGGTGAGTTTGCCTCAGAGAGGCTGGGAGATGCAGCCTGTCCGACTGCTGCTATTAAATTTTAATCGATTTGTGAAAAACTAGAGCAGATGAGTGAATCAATGCTCCTTACTGCCGTATCCCAGCTGGTGAGGAAATCCACTGCAGAGGATCCCCCCCCAGGCCAGGGTTGTTGTTACTGGGTTCCTAATCGCGTGACATCCCCCACCGTCTCATGATCCTCCGCAGCCTGGAACAATTTCGGCATGAGATGGGACGACACACAGGCACAACATCCAGCCGCTCCGCTTACAGGAAGCTCATGTGTGGCGTGTGTAATTCCACATATGTGTCACATGTCCCAGCAGCGGGGGGAGCATTATGGTCACCCACCATCCCCTGACACTAACGTACCAGAGGCCTCGGATCCCAACCCAAGTGGCACTTGCTATTTGTTTTTAAATCATGGTGGGTGGGTGGGGTATATGTTTTCAGGAAAGCAGATGACTGGTGGAGTTCAAAGGGGGATGTTTGTAGAGTTGCAGTGCTCACTTTTGAAACTCCACAGCTGGGACATCTTGTGGAGGAGATAAAAACACATCTGGACACCTCATTGTCCAGTGGGTGGGTGGTGTCCTGAAGTACCTGCACATGGAGCTAGGGGGCGCCATTGCTCCATCGTCATGTGAGGGAGGATGACACGTTTCGGCTGAACCTCTTAGCTCAAACTGGATGCATATTAGAGCTTTCTGACTTTTTTACATTTAGAAAACTATGTCCAGAACAGCAAATACTTCAACAGATGAGCAGACTGCTTGGATTTTTTTCTAAAGAGCCAGATGAGGAAATGGAAGCATTGTGGTTGAAGCCCTATTAAAATGCTCTGCCAAGTTAGCGTGCTAACACTGCAGCTCACTGAGTGAGTAAATACAATGGGACAGGTGGAGACATGGCTGTATATCTGCTCCACTGCGCCCTCTAGTGTTGGGCAGTAAAATTAAATCCGGAAGCACATCTTGGTGTGTGGCTCAGTGGGCCAAGCCTCTGTGCTGGTGACCAGAAGGTCGATGGCTTGACAGAACAGTCACATGTCCGTGGGCCCATGAGTAAGGCCCTTAACCCCCAGCTCTCTGGGCGCTGAAAGGTGGCTGCCCTCGCTGTGTCCCCCAAACTTGCTCTCACTTGTATAGAAAGCAAGATGGGGCAAAGTGAAAAAAGAAAATTAATTAATAAAGTATCTCTATTCTATTCTATTCTATTCTCTGTTGGTGTTCCACACATGCATTTCCATTAATCACCAGCAGAGGGCCCCCCACACATACCTGGTGACGTGTCAGTGGCTGACTACTCCAAAAACATCATCAAACTGCGTGGGCGGCCACTGGGGGCCACGGCGCTCATCAGTCTGATTCCACCTCGTTCAGCAAACGTTTCTGTTTGCGTGCCATGTTGAATTTCTGCCGTGCACATTTAATTGTTCCGTGTTGACAGTTTACTCCACAGGGCCAGCCTGAAAACGTCGCTAACTAGTCGTCAACCCGAACGGCCTTCTGGGA